GGATGGATGGATGGATGGATGGATGGATGGATGGATGGATGGATGGACACATGCTGTTGTGGAATATTCTTCACTTTGACTCATCATTTAAGTAAATTGAAACATAATCATTGATTCTATCTTTGAAAAATCATATTGTTCTGGCAGATAAACTGTGAGTGCTTTGCAACTGTCCAAATAACACATTTATTCCCTCTTTTAGTCTTTGGAGACCAAATATGCATTAACCCCTGATGGGAACTAGCTAAACCACAGTTGCTTTGGCTTGTTCATGGATCACACAACAGCTGCGGTATGAGATCTTGCAGATTTAAGCCAAAGTATACACTGAAACCAGGACAGTGTGAAATAGAAGTGTAAAATGTTTATGAATATATACAGCTGGAGGCTGTGAAAATAATTTTAGAGCAAATACTTAGAGCCTGTTTTCTCTGTAGAACTTACTAGGTTTGCATAAGAGCACACAGAGCTTTTGCACATGTAAATCATGAAACAATATTAACTAAAAAAAAGTTTAAAACATTTATCATACATCAATAGATGTAAGTATTTGTCATAGAAGCAAGGTTATTGAATACCAATGCGTGTCAACAAACGCACCTCCTGGTAACCACATCTATTTTTCCCTTTAAAATTAAAACAGTTTTAAAGTCTGCACATTGTCACGACTTATAATTTCCTGATTTTTGTGCTGAATTCACAACCCAATTTTTGTTTGCCATCGAAGCTATTTTCCCTTCAAAAAATTATGTGAATCTTTCTTTTGTCATTTCAAGGTTTCATTTTATCTGTGAAACATTTTCCCCTTCGTTTTAAATTTTTTTATTTAAGACCTGACATACTGATTATTTTTACTTTTAATGGCTTGTATGCAGTTAACAGGATTAAATTAAACAATAAAACTAAAATTACAAGCAGAATTTTCCTCAGGATAATAAATTGTTGATGAATATGGCTCCATGAACACAACAGGCTGAGGAAGAGTTATGTGTCTTGAGCCTGTAAATCTTTCCCTTTACCTCTAACTCAAATACTTGTATTAGTGGTAAAGTATTTTAATGATTTTTTTATTGTAGTTCTTTATTTTTAAAAAATATTTATAATTAACTAGCAATATTTAAATAAATAGTATCCAGTATAACAGAAAACCAATTGTATTCAATGGTTTCTCACATGACTTTGTCTTTCAGAAAAACTTTTATTTTTATTTTGCCTTAAAAGAGACAGGCCTCGTTAGTATTGCAAAGTCTTTCTAAGCCAAAAACAAAACAGTGAAAACGTTTCTTTTAAGATCCATGAATTATCCACAGAAGGCAGATACACAGATTATGAGTTTCCATAATTTAGACCTGTTAGTGAGCGTGCTTCCTCTCATCTACCTGTGTCAGTGCACATTCAGCTCCACTTTCATCTTTAGCTGAGATTAGCAGCCCGGCAGAACAGATGGAACATGTTAGGAAGAACAATTTTGTCGATATTTATTCAAAACAATACCAACACAGCAACATTTCTTTTGCGAGAAAACTATAGAAATAAGCAGAAGTAATCACACGTTCAAATGGAAAAAAACACTGTGCAAAATGGTTCAAAGAAACAAGATCAGGTCCGTGTCAAAATCAAGTATGTCAACACAAAGCAACAGCGGTCCCTCATAGTCTGTTTGCTTTTTTTGGTTACATTATCTTTTAGTGCAACTGCAGAAGTGGAATCAGTGCTTACAACATAAATGAGCTTAGACTTGTAATTTGCTGTGTAGAGATCAATGTAAGAGCAAGCAGGAAATGATCTTTTCAAATATATCTTAGCTGAGCTACCACAACTGTTACAGTGGGACTCTGTATGTTTGAGCTCCAGCACCTTTGTGTGGAGATATCTGCTTTTTTACCGTGCTGCAGAGCATCACTGCAGCAGAGACTTCAGCACTCCTCAGAGTGAGACCTCGGGTGCCCTCTTGTGACAATAATTGGTACTCGATTAGTTTCACAACAGAACAAAAAGCTTTGCATTTGTTTTAAAGCATCGTGATGTTGAGTATTATTGTTAAACGAAGTATGAAATTAAATATTTTACATCAATGCCCCTGTATAAGAAAAAAAGTAAGAAAAAATAAATATATATTTTTCTAACTCTGCGCACCTTGTCAATTTAACAGTATAAAATCCTGGAAATGTATGCCACTGTACGTACCGTCACAACTTATTCAGCTTTTTTCACAAAACTGAGCGCAAGCCTTTTCTGAATGTCTGAGTTTTGCTACAAATATATAAACCAACATGAGAAACTGAAAACACAATTTGGTCTTCAATTAAAGCTTTGAGTGTCCACATTATTGTTTACATCAGTAGTCAAATCTTTTCACATGTCCAGGTGCTCGGGCCTGTAGACATTGTCAGATATTTAACTGAAAAGGAAAGTTGTCTTTGTGTACTCTTTCCAGCTCCAATCCAAATGCAGCAATGATATCAAGGGGTCAAACGCCACCTTGACCAACAGCTACCTGTCCGAGTCCATGTCTGAGGCCTCAGCATCATCTGCGGATAAAGTCGGTGGGTATGGTCTTGGCTGATCTAAGTTGACGTAGGTAACTTTCAAATTGATATAATGCTCTCCTTCCAGACAGGACAGAATGTGATCTACTTCTGTTACCAAGCCGTGGAAGCTCGGTCTGCAATCAGGTTCTGGGTCCCAACATGCCAGCATGATTGAATAGCTGTGGAATGAACAATTGTGTAAATGAGTAACAGACAAAAAAACAAAAACAGTGCAAACAGACAAAATAGACTCCAAACCCAATTTCATGAGCCATTCAACAATGTCATCTATAAAATACATATTTTTGGTAGTATGAGGCTTACAGAGTATCTGGGCAATACTGTGGCTGGGGGAGTCGACGGCCCTTCAACAAGTAGTGTGTGATGTCATAGGGGTCAACATCTGGATATGGGCTTGCACCTCTGGTCAAGAGTTCCCACATTAAGATGCCATATGACCACTGGAAAACAAAAATGGATTGTTTTGTAGATGTTACAGTCTGAAACAAAACGTTATTTATCATGTGCACTCACCACATCAGATTTGGTTGTGAACTTCTGTGTTTGCAGGCTTTCGATGGCCATCCACTTCACTGGGAGCTTCGCTTTTCTGTGATTTTGAATGCTGTAGTACTCCTTGTCATACACGTCTCTCGCCATGCCAAAGTCTGCCACCTTTACAGTGAAGGTTTCATCTAACCTGTGAAGAAGACATGACAAACAATCCTATAATCCTCTAAACAATCCTCTAAAACAGGGGGAAAATACTTTATTTGACCCGTCACAGCCCAGTAACTTCCAGGTCATTCAGACTTACATGCAGTTGCGTGCAGCCAGGTCTCTATGAACAAATTTCTTCTGGGCTAAGTACTCCATGCCCATGGCAACCTGAAGTCCAAACCCAATCAGGTCTTTCACTGTTGGGTTCTGTAAAAAGACAAAAAACTAAAGTAAACACAGATGACAAAGTCCAAGAGAATGTACTGAGACGGAAAAGGCTCCAATCAGATTCACAGTGCAAATATTTACAATCATGACATGACTGATACAGAGAGTTTCATTATTTCATTCACCCTTTGCTCTGAGCGGATGAAATGTCGCACGTCTCCATGCTTCATGTAAGGCAGGACCACCAGAGGGAGCCCTTCTTTGGGCAGCATGATGCCCAGCAGAGACAGTATGTTTGGGTGGTGGAAGCCTTTCATGATAATGCCCTCTCTAAGGAACTGGTCCACTTCACCCAAATCAGTGATCCCTGATAAGAAAATACACGCTTTCTCAAGAACAAGCAAAGGAGGGCTCACATAATAAATCTTCCTTTATCAAACAAATTCACTCACTGTTCAATGACTTAACAGCACAATGGGTTTCTTGCTTATTGCTATCGATAAGGTATCCATGATATACCGTCCCAAAGTGGCCTGTGGTAGAAGACGTATGAACATGTTTCAGTTGTTTATAGAGAGAATACCTATTGGTGGTGAAGCAAGAGAAGGAAGACAAACATTTGGAGGCTCACCTTTTCCAATAACCTTGCTATCCTCAATCCTGAGCATGTCTGTAGGGATTAGCACATCTTTGACTTCATCAAGCAGATCACAGCTCAAGCTAACGATTGAAATGTTGTCCCGTGGCATTAAAGGAACAGCCAGATGATCATAGCTAGTAGCATAGGCTAAGCCATGGAAGGCCATTCCTCCGGAACCTGATGTCTGACTGGACAGATCTACAAACGAGAAGATTCAACAAAATATGAACTAATATGGACAGTATGAAGATGGAAAACTTTGTATTTCATGCGTTAAAACATTTCACATCCAGGCTGGCTCCTTACACATTTTTACTTTTGAAAGACTCCACTTTTCTGGGACGTGTGTTTTTTATGCTATTTGTTTTATATTTTTGACAGAAACCGTTTTTCACCCTGAGTTGCTTTTCTTACACAACTTTTATTCTGACTTTTGATGCTGTCAAAAAATGATCAAATCTCATGACACTCGTTGGCCCCAACATCTGAAAATTTGTAAGTTCTCTATTTTAGATCAGAGAAAGGGATCCATTTAGCTTTTTTTCACCCCCACACAACTTCAAATCTTTTTTGGAAACATAACTATAATTCTTATCAGACACCAAAGCAGGAACCTATTTTCCTTAGTCTCTAAAGTTAATGAAGTCTAAAACCTTACTTTGTCTATAATCACCTGTTGGAGATTCAAGACGACTGCTCATGCGACCACGGGACAACATGGTGGATAAACGGATCTCTATGTTTGCTGAAATAACACATACATAACATGTACAATCAATGAAAATTACTCAGCAAAAGGCCATTCACGGAATAAAGGAAAAAGATACTGACTAGAACTAGTTGATTAAGAAAAAATCTAGAATTTCTGTTTATTAATTAGAAGAATTATTCAACAAATTATTCCAGTTAGGTGGAATGCATCAAGGAAAAAGAGTCTTTCTTACCTCTCTTTTTCTTCCTTAAATGAACCATCACGAATAATGCGAGGCCAGCACCTACTACCAGTGCAGCAAGGATGCCAAGAACAATGCCCGCAATCACTGTTGAGTTGTCGTTGTTGGCAGAGACTACGGTGCCCACGTCATAAACTTCTCCATTTATAGTCACCTACCATAACAATGGTGAAGAAGAAAATGATTTTACTCTTTATAAAACATTCAATTAGTTGTCAGTTTTAATGAATGGTTTAAACTGAGTTTAATCACAATCTTACCTTGACAGGCAACCCCTCACTGGGTATAACCAAGCTTTTGGGAATCCTGCAGGTCAGTTCATTTGACAGAACCTGAGCCTTGCACGCATTATTACCAATGGTCATTGTGATCTTCATACATGTGTTGACTGGGTTCAGATTGTTATGCTGTAAAACACGTAGAAATATTGTCATATGCGATCACAGTTTTACTGCTGCAATGTGTGAAACGAAAAGGTGGCACATACATGCAGTGATACTTCAGTTTCCTCTGGTTTCAGATGCAAAACATTGTCCTCATTTTCAAAGGGGATGACTTTGGCATCTGGGTGGTAGTCAAAATTTTTCTTCCAGAGGTCTCTTTTTCCATCAATGTGAATAGACATCTGTCCTTTGTTAAACTTTTCCTCTCTCATTTCCTTTGGGAAAGCCGGAGTCCAGCACTCAATATGTGTGGAATTTCTTGTGCCATTGCAGACCTTGAATGAAAAAAAAAGATCTTGCCTCTTTTTCCAATGAATTGTTTCACTGACTTGGTTGAAATATATTTGACTGAATTGTGAATTGAATTTGAAAAGAATAGTTGAAAATATCAAAGACGTATCTTACTTGTTGAAGATACTGCATAATGGTAATTCCTGGACTGTACTGAAGCACAATTTTGTGGGCTGAGTCAAGATTCTGACCTTTTATCACCAGCCTGGAGCTTCTGTTTGACGACGGTAGAGACCATGTTAGGGATATAATTAATACAACTGTGATATCAACAAACACTGCTTCATTTTCAATGACATTCTACAGGTAGAAGAATGCTGCACAAGTCTATTGGAAGTACTATGTCAGTGTCCCACCTCTGGAAACTGCAATGGGGGTACACTGAGGTTATGACAGGGTTCTCCCTATTGTGGAACTTCTGCATGGCAGTCACTTTTAGGCTATCAATTATGACTTCCACAGGCACTTTCCCAACACTTTCTGCAGCTGCTGTGTGGCAGATGATGGAAGAGGACATCCCTGGTTTCTCAAAAACACTGAAATCCAAAGAAAGAATCAAATGGATAACTTTTTCTAATTTAAATTTAAATGGAGATCTAAAATCATGATCTATATATCATCATATCATTAAGTCTTATCATGTGTTCCTTGTGTTAGTGTCAATGATAAGACATAGTTGTCTGTGCTTCTCACCTTTGAATGATACACTTTTTGTCTGCAAATAGGACATCTCTTTGTACCCCAGAGTTAAGATATCTGCCTGTCAGTGTAACTGCTGTTCCCCCAAACATGGGTCCAAAATCAGGTTTGATCTCTGTGATGCTGGGCTCCTGGTTAGATGGGGGTAAAATGTTTCAAATATTACAAATATAACTGAATATTTAGTATTTTATAACTGCATGACAAGCATAATTCTCACCACAAAAGCGAGGCCAGGCATCTGCGCTGTGCCTTCAATCGAGTAGCGGCCCTCCACCTCTCCCTCATGCACTTTCAGAGTGATGTTGAGGTCCTGGTTTGGTACTTCCTCACTTATTTTGCACACTAGCCTGTAATAGGAACAAAAATCATAATGTGCCTGAAAATACTCTACTGACTCTGGTGCTCATAAGATAGAAACCAAGGGTACCATTTCAAGTTTGACATAATGTTTTCAGGCTTTTAACTTTTCCATGCTTCATTTGAACTTTGTCCTAGATCTTAAGATTTAAACTGTTAATAAACCCGAGTGGCTTCGACATTAATATGATTAAAGAAATGTTAAATGGATTATCATCCATCCAGAATGTGGCTCCCCGCACATAATTCAATTCTTGATATGATTCAAGCTAACTTGTTGGTTACCTCTCTGACCAGCACCATTTGTCTTTGGCTGACTAAAGCTCTTTATCTGTAAAGCCTGCTTGGCTCATGTGTCAGGAATCCTCTCTGACTCTCCAAACAGAGAGTATGTGAGCTGCTCTCCCTAACTTATCATCAGTACTTTACTCTATATTTAAGAGTAGGCTTAAGACTTTCCTTTATGATAGAGCTTACAGTTAGGGTGAGTCCACACCTGGTTGAGCTGCTAAAGGCCTAGACCGCCGGGGGATGCATCATGATGCACCGAGCTCCCCTTTCCTTTCTCTCTCTCCCTCCCGGTGCAACCTCATTCCATTAACAATGTTACTAACTGGACTCTCTCCCTTCCCCGTAGTCTTGTGCTTTCTCGTCCCCCTTCTCTCTCCTCATCCCTCCTATCACTTTCTGCAGATATTGCATGCTCTGGAGCTGTGGGGTCTGGATCTGTGGTTGGCAGTCTCCTCCTATCACTTCCTGCAGATGTTCCTAGAGCTGTGGAGTCTGGATCTGTGGTTGGAAGTTTCCTGCTGCCCCCCTGTTCCTGCTTTGTTGCTGTCATAACTTCTACCGTTATCATTATTATTAATATTATTGCCATTTTTCATCTAGTCTACGTGTTGCTGTGTTGGCTGCCTCTCTCTGCTCCCTCTGTCCTTCTCTCGCCCTCTCTCTCTTGCCCTCTCTTTCCCTCACCCCCAACCGGCCGAGGCAGATGGCCGCCCACCCTGAGCCATGGTTCTGCTCGAGGTTTCTGCCTGTTAAAAGGAAGTTTTTCCTTGCCTGTGTCTCCTAGTGCTTGCTCATGGTGGGAATTGTTGGGTTTCTGTAATTAACTTCAGAGTAGGGTCTGACCTGCTCTGTTTGGAAAGCGCTGTGAGATGACTGTTGTTGTGATGTGGCGCTATATAAATAAAATTTAATTGAATTGAATACTTACTGAAACACAAAATACTGAAATGTCCTTTTAATTCACCTAAATTCTCCCACGGATAACTTCCTTTCACATAACACCCATTATACAATACATCACACAGTTCGTTAATAAACATTAGAAAAGCAGTGCATGTGTTTCTAATATAACAAAAGAAACTACAAAAATCTCTTTGTATACATCCGGCTCACCTTTTACTGTTGCTCTTCTCAGGCAGAATGGTACATTGGGTCACAGAACCGGCTGTGATAATGTGTGTTTTGCCATTTATGATAGCCGGTCGCAGAGGGGACTGAAACTCTGAACCACACAGTGTTACCTCTGTCTCCCCACCAGCAGGTACCATTTTTGGGAAAAACTACAGATAAAAGAGTAACCATGATTATCCATGCCCCAACTCATAAATTAGTTAACATCACCATAAATTTATTTTGTTCCAACTTGCATTGGCGAAGCACTTAGACCTACCTCTGTTATGACAGGTGCGCAAGATTCTTTGTTCCACTGTGAGGCACATTCATGCTTCCTGGAACAGCTTCCTGAACACCAGCCACAGTTCATGAAGCGTGGAGCTGTCAAACACATGGAGCACGTCAAAAAATGTGCACATCCCGGTCCTGTAGAGGGTACCCTGTACATCTTGAACAAGAAGAGAAGTTAGATAATGAGTCAATAAACAGCGTGCTAATTCCCTGACGATCAGGTATGGCAGAATAGTCTAAAAACATACCTTATTTCCAGCCACAAAGAGAAGGGAATCCTCTGAGAGCACTGCTGCTGCCCTGGAAATTCCTATTTCTCCCAGTGAATAGTTGGCAAAAACAATAGGCCTGTAAAGTGTGAGAATCACCTGAGGGAATGACAGAGAGAGGTAACGTTAGGAGAACTTTTAGAAAGTGCAGAAAGCAAATGGATCATCCATTCACATGGCAGTCATCTTACTGGCATTAAAACATTCCATTACCTGCAGTATCCGGCCATCCGAGGTGCCAAAATGACCAAGTGTTTGATTCCCAATAGTGCTGATCAGGACAGACGTGAACAGGACATCTCTCATCTGGCTGTTGAATAGGTCTAATCTGTAGTGTGGCTTTGAGACCAGGGTGGGTTTATCACTGCATGTGTGATTCCCCTCAGAGCTCTATACAGGCAGGAAACCACATTCACAAGTCAATGCAAACAAATTCATATATTTGTTTTTTCAAACTTAACCCTCATCTTTTTTGCTGAGAAAATACCTGATTTATAGTATGTAAATGAATAAACCTCAGGATACACTATTCATTTAAAGAGGAAGTACTCAACCATGGTTATATAGTAACAAGGTCATACAAACCAGTGATCCCAGCTCTGTTAACCTGCCAACTGTGTTTCTGTGCATTTTGCCTCCAAATGATACTGGATTTTCAATGGCTGTTTTTTTTTTGTCAGAAAGAGCGTGAGTCATGAAAGCAATTATCTAAAAAAGACAGGATATGTTAAACTAATAGTAAACATTCCACTGCAAAGCAGTAAGCTGACCTGCCCGAGCATGCCCCAGTCTGCCTATGACAATTCAACCGTTCCAGATTTTAAAGGCAGCGGCGTAACCTCTTCTTTAACCAGCTCGCACCGTGTCTGTGACCTGCATATTTGTTCTTATTGCCTCTCATTCCCACACCACAAGAATGGGTGTGGCAGGATAGACCTCCACTAGTGCAACATATCACTGATAGTAATTTCAGTGTGTGGAAGTTATCTATGTAATTCACCAAGCAGTTTCAAGTCGATGTATTGGCTTTATTCCTAAGCTCTTTTTTCTTGCTTCATATGTGTAATGTTGCTTTCTATTTAGGTTGATTTATATGTAATTTTCTTTTATCTGATGATTTATTATCATATTGGATTTGAATAATAGAGTAACTTCAGTAGAATTCCTGTTCCCTATTACGCATTTTATGAAGAATGGCACGGCGCAAAACAGACCCTTCCCTAAAAATCCCACTGTTTATCTGTAGCATTTATCACTTGTGTTTATTGGTAGGTATTCCTGTAGGTGTACACATGCCAGAGAGATATCATAGATATCACAGTTGAAACACCATAAAAGAAAAAGACCACACCTTTTTTTGTCAGGGGCTGTGGCCTAATTCCCCGTGTAGGAATTAGGCTTCTTCACCTACTGTGAAGGTGGGTGGAAAGGGAGACATAGAAAATAGGTCCAGACTAAGATGACTTTTGTGAAATCTTCAACAACTTTTTGGTTTGACTGGCTTGTGAACACTGACCCTAATCAAGCTCAAATACTTTTATCGAAAAGTTACAAGAGTTAACCCATCAACAATACCTCTTTCATCTGGTGAATTGTCAGTTAAGTTCTGATTAATCAAAAAACAGGACACAGAGAGGCATTCGAAAAGATTATCTAAGAATAAATAAAGAATATTTCTAGTGGAAGCACTCATCTTATGAACAGTTTTGATATCAAAACCATGTTACTAAGAAAGTCGGAAACTTATTAAACACACTAAGCTGATAAAATCTACTGGACACGATACTGACTCACTCCTCCCTCCTGATCGCTCATCCGGACCTGTTCTTTGTCTAACACACAGTCATGGTTGACAAGGGGATTTATTATTACTGAGTACAATGTTTACATCATGGACAAACTGTAGTCCCCTCACCACTATCTTTTCTTGCTAAAAAAAAACAAAACATAAAAACCGTATGCTACTTTGATTGGAACACGGGTGATTTCATTAGACTATGTTTGTCCAGATAAGTCATTTCCTGTCTGGGGACAGGATGACCTGTTTACGGCTCTGACGACACTAAGTCACAAAAAGTTACTCACTTCGTGTGGGCAGCTCTCACATGGCTGGAAGTGGCAGAGGCCTCTGGACAGCTGCTCCGAACCTGACTTGCAGCAGGCATCCACGCCTATCTCAATGGCGTGGTTGACTTTACTCAAAGGGAAGGCACACAGGGCTGAGTTTTTTTGAGCTTCACCTTTCACATTGACTTCAGCAAAAACCCCATACAGAATATCTTCTTTCTCGTCCACCCTAAGCTCTTCAGACAAGTCCTTCCCCGCTCGCCACAGATGGGCCGCCTGCAGCCCGTTGTACACAACATCCCTGAAAATCTCTCTCCGTTTCTTCCTCCGTTTAGGCTCATACCGGCACTCCAGCACCAGCTCTCTGTACATCCACACTTCCGGAGTTAAAATAGGCAGACGTCCCAGATGGGTCTGAAAGGGAGAATTACTCTTGGAAGGATTTTCCCTTTGCAGGGACAGGAAGTAGACATACTCCTTGGTGGAAAAACTGTACAAGTAGTCAATGCTGTAGGACTCACGTAGGCCGGGAAGCACTGTCAGTCCATTCATGACCATAAGAAAGCCATCTTCAGTGGAAAGTGGCCTAACCACCGATATAGACCTCCTTGGATAACTTTGTACCACTTTGTCATTGACAGATGACGCAACGAAGAATAACGATGTCCTTCCCTGTTCTACGATGGTGACTTTGGTGCCAAGAGGGCTGGCCAGACAGTCGGGACATTTTACTGGAGAGGTTCCCTCTTTTCTGTATAAACACTTAGGCTCAGGCTGTGGGAAGCTGGTGTCGATAAAGTAACAGATCCCATGCTGTGTACTCCCACAAAAGTACAAGTATGGCAAGTAAAATCCAGCAGGATCCAGAAGCAAAACTTCATTGTCAGTGTCCACTGTGTCCTCGGGATCAGTTTCCATATCACACAAGTGACAGGTGTCACAGTCAGGGCTGCCAAGAGGTCCAGTTTTCAACTCCCATATTTTATTCATGGAGTCATTGACTGCCACTATTGCATTCTGGCATCCAACATACACCTCTGTTACAATCTGTGGTGAAGGTTCTTTGTGATTTACCACAATGTTCTGTATTGGATTGTCCGTTTGAAAGAAGGGGAGGGGATATTTTACAGTGAAATCAACCAGCCTTTGAGGAGCAGGGGGACATGTTTGCTGTCCTAAGGCAGTTTGGGTTTTTATCCACATACATACTGTCAGCAAAGCAGTCAGGGTTACCATCTCCACAGCACACAGAGATTAAGTGCTACCTGCTAGATACTTTCCTAGAAGAGAACATTCTGGAGAGGCAGCAGGGGCTCTGTGAGAAAAAACAGAGAAGGAATGTTGGGATTGAACAAACATACCACGCTAACATTTATTCTCGCATTTAACAGAGTTTCACTTCTGAAATGGTGGAGGATATTGTAAACAGCTCTGCCTGCTGAAAGAATTAAGGAATGGGTGGTAAAACGTTTGGTTTGTCCATTTTGAGGCAGCATCTCTACTTTTAGGTAAGTGCAGCTTGATTTGTTTGGATGGATTTACATACATTTAAGAGCTGATTGAGCAAGTGGGAGGACAGAGACTTCAGTGAGGTCAAATGTAAAAGTGGGGAGGACTTACAGAGGCACACAAAACTTTGGTACTGAATAATAAGAACTACTCAGCATATGTCAAATATAGACTATGAGTGGCAGATGTAGTTTGAACTCATTCATACACACATATACTATATAGGCTACATAGAATGTACTAGAGCTGATTATTAACAACTGAATTAAACAAAAGTAGGAATCCAAGATTAAACTTAAGGCAAGACGTTATTTCCCTTTACGCAAAGAAACACTTACCTTGCGTTTGACATGTAAAGATTGCAATTAGTTTCGTCCAACAGACTTCTAAGGGGGATTCGCCTGTTGAAAGTGTCCTGTGAGAGTGGATTCCCGGTCTGCGCTGGCTGCCTTCACCTGACAGTGTCACGGCTCAGACCGACGCACTCACACCGAAACCGGCTGCGCAATTAAACGAACAGATCGGGATGAAATCCGGATCCTACACACAGCTCCATAATAAAAGCCCACCTGAACTCCTCCATGCTGGACGAAAACTGCTTAGACGGAATATGTGTGCCAACAAAGTTATTTCTAAAAGTCCCCAATCATTTAAAAGTGCATTTTAAAGTGCATGCAATTTACCATCGATCTTTTGCTCACGTTTTTTTTTTTTTTTTTAAATCATGAATATTTTTTCCATTCATATTTATACCTTAACAACTCTGCATTCCCTGCTCAACGGATGTTTGCTTTTTTCTTCTTTTTTTTTGTTGTCAGTCATGGTTGATTTTGAAGTGGAGGGCCGGAAACGCTCTGGTCACTCCGTCCAGCTTCCCCCTGATGTTCCCCATCTGGGAGCTGTCCTGGTAAGCCGCGCCCGCGACTAGGAAGTATGAAATAGTTGCGAAATTTCACCACCTCAAAAATATCCTATTCGTTTCCTTCCTGGGGTATGACAGACAGAGCTGGAGCATTTTTTTTTCCTACACGCAGGCAACGCTGCAATTTGGAACATGGACACTATAGTGTCCCAGCCTAAAAAAATAAAGGCCTAAGGGTTTCTGCCAAAAGTGCATTGCTTTCACATGAGAGATAAGGTTATAAAGGCAAGCCGAAAAGTTACGAGAGGACTGCATTCACTCCCTTTTTCCAGAAAGGAAGAAAAGGAGAAACAGCAGTATTTTAATATAGTTAGTATCTGTGATTTGTGGCCTTCAAACCTATAAACTTCATTAAAGAATCCTCTATAACATGAAAAGTAATGACTTAAAACATATTTGGCATAACCTTAAATTGACCGTGTCCTCACTTCCCAAAATACAAGTGCTTTTTTAGATGTACTGTGGCACTGTAGACCCAAAAGTTAAACATCGACTACTCAATCCAAAGTTCAGCAAAGACAGGCTGTCACCTCCTCTGAGGGGAAATGCGTGTGGCGTAAACATCCAATGTCACTGTTCCACACGCTAAACCAAAAAGATAAAGACGGAATCTGGCAATGAAACTGTTTGCATGTACTTCTGGAATTTGGAGGTTAGATGAGGCAGAATCCCCCCAAAAAGTCGCTGCAATTTGACCGCCACAAGGCTGCGCCGGCCCAGGGAGAGCTCGGACTGGGAGACTGACCAAACAAATGTGTGAGACAACAACAGCAAGGACATTTCACTCACTCCACAGACTTACGTCTGTCATTTGGGACATACGGTGGTGTTTTAGTGGAGTGATTCTGATGAAGAGACTGCTCTATCAAAACACTGACCTCTTTTCAGCAGTAAAAACTACTAACATATTTAAGTAGCCTTTACTGTCCAGTGGTTAAATCAACATTTCATTCTCCAAGCTCAGCTAGCATACAGTACACAATATTTTCACGCATGTTCAGGATGGTGTATTGGATGAAAGAGAAAATTCTGGGAAATCTGCTGGTTTGCATATCTTTTGTTCATTGGCTCTGTATGAATTGGGGGTTTTTGGATTTGAATGAACTTGAACTGATTGAATTTTTATTGTATTACAATGCATTGGATTCTAAGTGGTTTGAGTTCTTGTATTCTTTGTCAATAAAAGTATTTAGTTGTAATCAGGATGTTCCTTTTTTACATTTCAGATGATCTGTTGACGAGCTCTTTCGCACGTTGAGTCCCGTGTTGTATTTTCATATCTCATACCTAAAGATGACTCACTTCTGGTCACTCCTACACATGCACTGCTTTACTCTGGATGGGTTTTCTCGTCCACAGACAGACTGATCGAACGAAAGGCCAAAAAAGTTAAGCAATACTGGATAGTACCAATGTTACTGTCACCAAGGAAATGTCAATGGTTCTCTCCAAACATGACTATTACTTGGGTGCTATGTTTTTACGACAAAATGCACTTATTCATACAACGATTATTCACACATTTCCACGCTCTGATTAATAATCTGTTTATATGCAACGACAACAACGACAACAAAAAAGCATTTATATCAGACACAACCCCTGTCGTGTTTAGGGTTGTAGGCATAAGGTTTATCACCCTGGAGGTTGTGAGTATTGCTGTGAACTTTTGTAGTCGTGTGCTGTTAATAAAACGTTTGATGCATCACATCATGTATTCAAAGATATTCAACTTCAGTTAACATATTCAGAAAACAAAAGCTAAAATACTTTCAGTTTATCGACGAGTTTCCGCTTCACAATTCAGAAACAAACCGACTCATTGTGACATCCTCGCGTTCTCACGTCGCCCTCTAGCGGTCAGTTTCCGGCCCTACACCCACAAAGATCCCCGAACGACGACACACCTCGAAGAGGTGAAACGAAACCGAAATGGGCAGTACCTACATAAACTGCCGTCTCCCATTCATTTCTCAGAACCTCTCCATGGTTTAGAGTAGTTCAGCATCTCCGCAATCCGTCTTCCAAAGACTCAACTTTTCTGCTGAAATCAGTGGACTTCAGTCGTTCCAAAACACGGAAACTGCGGGAGCAACATGGACGGAACCGGCGAAATCGATGAGGGATTTTACTCCCGGCAGCTGTGAGTACAACCTGCCGGCACTTTTCGAGGAATGCCTTAAAGTGCAGAGAAAGATCCATGTTTTTTTGTTTTCTTCTTCTTTTTCTTGGACTTTCCCAGCTATGTTTTGGGGCACGCCGCGATGCACCGGATGGGCACGGCGAGCGTCCTCATTGCGGGGATGAGGGGTCTGGGAGTGGAAATAGCCAAAAATGTCATCCTCTCCGGGGTTAAGTCTGTCACTGTTCAGGATGAGGACCCAGCTGCGTGGTCCGATCTGGCATCGCAGGTACTGTCGGTTGGTTTAAAAAAGAAAGAAAGAAAGAAAAAGTCACAGAAATAAATACAATTTCAGGGTGTGGATGAGAGGCAAGAACTCGTCAAACCAGCTTCAACTCAAAACGTGTGCTGTTCTCCATCTCTTATATATCTGCTTGTCATCTGTCAAATTGGGGAAAGATAATGACTTAGGATAGTCCCTCTGCAAAGACTGCTGGAACTCAATGTAAAAAGTTTTGGTTTAAAAAGAAATGTGTTGGGTGTTGCCAACTGAAACAAAAATTTCAAGCGGTTGAAAGCCCTTTCACTTTCAAGATTAGCCCCAAAAATGCTGACTAGTTATGAGCGAGGATTTGGAACATTTAGCAGATAACAACACTTATTTTTTAAAACTATATTTGTTTTTTTTTTCTCCACCAGTTTTACCTCCAGGAGTCCCATCTCGGTCAGAACCGGGCCTCCTGTTCCCTACAGCAGCTGTCTGCCTTAAACCCCCACGTGCACGTGTCCGTGCACACCGGGCCGCTGCACCAAGACCTGCTGCTGCAGTTTCAGGTGCTCCTCCAATCGTCTGCATTCAAATGAAAAAATAAAGCTGAGATGAATGAACCCTCTCCTCCATCCTCAGGGGGAAAGTGGAAACATTCTGCCAGTGTTCGTATTATGTTCTTGTCACTGTACAATAATGGAGAGCGAAGAAACTAGATTCATGAGAAGGGGGGGTGCTGTTGTTTTTTTAGGTGGTGGTCCTCACTGACTCCTCACTGGATGATCAGAAGCGCTTTGGTGAATTCTGCCACTCGCAGGGAATCAAGTTTATAGTGGCAGACACCAGGGGACTCTGTGGGTAAGTGGGTAAGATAAAAGATGAAAATGGAAGAAAGCGGAAGTGAGAAAAGTTTGCTTGATTTGCAGGCAGCTGTTCTGTGACTTCGGTGAGACTTTTGAGGTCCTGGACCGGGACGGGGAGGTGCCTGCGTCAATGATGATAGAACGGATCACTAAGGTAATCTGTCCCATCTGCTCTCTGTTTACTGTCATCTATTACAAATTTGACTTCTCCAACTGAAAATTGTGAATAATATTCACGACTACATGTGATTTAAATGGATGAGATTTCATGTTTTTCTATGGGTAATAATGCAAATTCATTCCAAAGATGTGATAGCAGATTCTGACCCTTATGAATGACATTGGATTTCTTCTTAAAGAAATGAGTTTTTTCGCTGTGCTATAGACTGTTCTTCTGTGATTATTGTTGAACATTTCTCTCAGCTTTATTTGCACGGCTTTGTTTCAGGACAATCCAGGATTTGTTGTCTGCACGGACGACCAGAAGCACGGGCTTTCAGACGGCTCTAAGGTCGTGTTCTCTGAAGTCCAAGGCATGACGGAGCTCAACAGTATCGGCCCTCTGGAGATCAAAGTCTGCGGTTGGTGTTGCTTAACTAAGAATACTTTGTCCTGTTTTTTTTTTTTCTTCTTCTTTGTCCTCAACCCTGCTGACACGAGCACCACTCATGGCCCGGACTCCGTCCCAGTCACATGACATTCTTTTCACGACCCCCTCTGCCCCTCTGAGGAGCATTGTGGTGAAATGCGTGAGTCATGAATGGAACTGTTTCTTATCATACTCTCTGTGTGTTATTTATCACTTTAACCACCAGGCGATTATTCCTTCTTCATCTGTGACACATCAGCCTTTTCTGAGTATGAGCGGGGTGGAGTAGCGACCGAGGTCAAACAACCAGTCCAGCTCAGCTTCGTGAGTGTCCAAAATTAGTTTTTGTAATAAAGTACAATAAAAAAAACGTGTCCTTTGGGGGTTTAATAATGAAAACCCACGTTGCAGAAACCACTGAGGGAGGCTCTAGTCGATCACAGTCTGCTGGTATTGAACGACTTTGGAAAAATAGACAGGCACAACACACTGCACCTGGCATTCCAAGCCCTCCACAGCTTTGTGAAAAGAGAACAGCGGCTCCCTCATTCTTGGTCTCAGGTATGTTCATATATGGGTGATTTGATTACAACAAACACAATGCATCATACAGGATTGTTTTTCTGTAATTTAATTTATTTTCTTATTTTTGGATGAAAATACACAGTCAGATGCAGAAGCCCTGCTTGTGTTGGTGAGAGAGCTGAATGAAGTGGCAGAGCTGGAAAAACTAGATGAGGCTGCAGTGCGAAACCTGGCCTACACCGCACGGGGG